TCCCTAGGGAGGCTTGGGCTGTGCTTTAGGGTGGACAGAGGGCCACGCCTACCACATTGTTCCCCTCCATGGGTTTTCCCCAGGCCTTCGTCTGAGCTTTGCCTGGTGGATATTCCTCTAGTGACAGGAGAATGTTAACTGAGAGCCCAATTTTCTGTGCTATTGGAAATGTATGTTCCTTTTTTCTTTTGTTTTTTATTACTGTTTTACCATGATGGTAAAGAAATGCAAAGTCAACATTATTTTTCTCATCTTATCCTATAACTTTTTCCTTTTTCTCCCCAATATTTAAAGCAGAGTTAGTGCAACAGAGAATGCAAGGAAGCTATTATGTAGTAGTACTTTAAAGCACAGAATTACAGTAGCAAGCCTCACCCATCCTCTGATCCAGCTGTGCACTATTCTTCCTTACTCTGGGGCCTTCAATGTCTGTGTTGCTTTTTTCTGTGCCCCTCATGTCCCACACCTTTTCACAGAGTGGCATAAATAAATGCAAAGACTTCTTTCTGAAGAAATCCAAAAGTAATAGACATTCTTCATGATGACTTCTAAGACCTAGAGGCTTGCATAATAATAAGTGGCAACAGCCATAACCTTTAAAATCTATAGCCCGCTAGAAACAGAGGAGCCATGCAAAGAGCAAAATTCTAATTTTACCTACCAGTAAAGGGGAGCAGACAAGTCCCATCAGGACCGAGAGATGATAGACTATTTGGATGAAGGGTTGATTGTTCCGGGAGCTAGGGAGATGGCTGCTAACCACAAGCCCGAGTGCCCAGAGAAAGGAGACCACAAACAGAAGCTCACTTTCCTCTCCGACCCTGCGACCTCCACCATTGCCTATTGGGATGCATCAGGCAGGCTCTCCTAAGACAGAGACCTGAGCCATTAAGAGCTTTGGGACCTCAAAACAGAAGTGGCTGTGGGTACTCTGGATTCTTAGGCACTAAATGTGGGAAGTAACTAAGATTTTTAAGATTTAACTTAAAAATTACCGTATGACCCACTCCTAAGTATTTTTACCCAGTCCCACTCTTAGGTATTTATTTACGTAAGACATGAAAATGTAGCCCATACAATGACCTGTATGGGCTTTATTCATAACAGCCAAGATTGGAAAGAACCCAAATGTCCATCAACTAGTGAATGGATAAACAAATTATGGCATATCCATAACATTAACTACTACTCAGTAATAAAAGGATTGAAGTACTGGTACATGTAACAACATGGATGGATTTCAAAAACATTATGTTATGTGAAAGTGGTTGCCAGGGGCTGGAGGTTGGAAGGAGAGAATTGAATGTAATGGAGCACAAGAGACTTTTTGGAGGGATAGAAATTATCTACATTGTAGATAATTATAGTGGTGGTTACATAACTGTATATGTTGGTCGAAAATCATGGAACTGTACATTTTAAAAAGGGTGATTATACCTCAATAAACTTGACCTTTAAAACACACCCACACACAGAAGAGGGTTCTCAACCTTCCTCCTCATTAAAAAAATGTAAATTTAAATAATGAGATAACTTTTTTTTTTTAACCTATCCAATTGGCTAAGATCAAAGTGTTGGATTACACGTTCTGTCGAGGGTGTGAGGAGGAGTCACTCTCAAACCTCTGAGGGATATTTGAGTAGTATCTTTTCAAAGCTAAAAATGCACATACCCTTTGACTCAGAAATTCCACTTTTAGGAATTGTTTCTACAGGTAAGACATGTGCAAGGAAACATAGTTTTATATTGTTTATCATAGCAAAAACCAGGAATCAACCTTAATTTCTATGAATAAGGGACATGAAATTAACCATGGTACATATATATATATACAGTGTGTGTGCTTCCATTGTGTTTTTAGAAAGGTGTATGTATTCATATATGTGCTTGTATGTGCATAGACTGTTAGAGATGGGATACACACGCAAAGACACTGGTATTAGCAGTTGCTTCTACCGTAGGAAAGGCTTAGCTTTGAATGTATGTTTCTTTTCTGCAGCTTCTATTTAACATGTGCATATATTAACATCTCAGTTAAGGAGAAAAAACTTAATTTGCATACATTATAATGTGTCATTAGGGTATTTAGGAGTAGGTAAGTAACTTTCCTAATCATTTCCTCCAGAATGTCCTTCATTGCCTTTGTCAGCAACACAATAGCAGACTAGGTGGTTCTTGGGATTGACTGGTGTGATGTTTCTAAGACCACCTTTATAACCACTGCTTCCAGTTGGTGTCTCCTGATTTTCTGAATTCATGTGGCAGTAATTTGAGAAGAAAGAACACTGATTCCATTGTACCCTCATGGTGTCTTTTTGTGCATGGGCCTGCTCCTCTAGCTCAGGTCCATTTTTCCAAGCACCTCAGTGCTCATGGGCCCTGGTGGAGAGAAATGCAATGCATTCTACAGTGAATTGTCAATGATGTCTCTGCCACATACCCACATGCCACCAGGAAGCTTCTGTAAGTGAGGGGAGCAGCAGGAGGGAGGTGTGGAAATTGGCAGCACTTGCTGAAAGTGGGGTAGCCTGGGAGTCTGTATTCAGTTTAGTTTGGGTATTAAATGAATTAAAATGGATGTGCTCAAGTTATGAGCCTTGCCTCATCAGCGCTATAAAAAGCCCTTTAGCCGGGCTGTAATTTGACTCTCCTCTCTGTAATGTTACGCAATATTCCTATGGTTACAGAGCCTGAATAAGTGGGAGCTAATCATTAGTTTGCTAAATGCGGTTCGTGGAACAGTTCACAACTCCCAGACTTGCCAACTGCTGCTTGTTTGGTTTCATGTTCACTCTTCTTGGGTAGAAGTTGGTTGGTTCCTCAGAAAAATGTACAGTAACGTTTGTCTCACGTCCAGGAACCGTGCAGTGTGGCAGCTCTCCATGTGTCTTGGGATAGGAAGGAAAAAAGGTCATGCTAAGCAAAGTTTTTTGATACGTACACTTCTGCAGGGAGTCTAAGATGAAAAGAAAGGAATTGAAGCTGTAGAGGTTTTAGGTATTAGGAAAATCACATTTTGTGAACTTTTCAGAAATTTACTGTGATCGAAATCTATGGAATTTACCATTCTGTGGCCTCAGAAATAAAATTATGCTCTTTAGATTCTTTGTTACTTGTTTCATGTAATAAGAAAGATACCATTATTGCCCAGGCTCACCTGCAAACATCATGCAGGTGCTTTGCCTGTAGGAGTCGCACCTTTCATGAGCTGGGACCCTTCCCCCTCACATCTGCCGTGTGTGTCAGGGGAACATACTAAGAGCCCTAGGAACCAGCTGGATTTGTGCCTTTTCCTAAATCCTGAAGCCATTCATGAGTATTTGGCCTCTTCCCACTAGGATGAAAGTGGGTTCTTTCCCAGTAAATAGAAAATGTATCGTGTCCACCTGTGGCTCATTCTCCTTTTCCAGCTGAATGGCTGTTCGTCTTTCTTAGTTGATGTCCCAGAATTCCTCTTGGAGGCAGTCCAGTGGCTGTCTCTCTTTACCTAGTGTATCATTTAGATCTGTTTGCATTGTTAAAAAAAAAAACAAACCAGAAAACCTGACCTAACCTGGCTTAAAAAGGAATTTATGGCTCACGTGGTTAAGAAGGCATGGCCAGATACAAGGGCCCAAGACCTACTATCTCTGTTTCTCCCATCTCTGGGTTTGTCGAACTCACTTTCAGGCCCTATGTGGTGGCACGTGGCAGTTACATAACCTCCTGGATACAAGCCCAGCAAACAGCAAGTGTCTTTTCTCCTGTCTCCTGGAAAAGTCCTGAAGTTCATTCTGATGAGGTTGGCTTAGGTCTTCAACCATCCCCTCAGCGAGTCATCAGGTCTGTGGAGATGATATGCTTTTGACCAGTCCGTCCTCAATCTCATTCCCCACCCCTGGAAGGAGTAGAAAAAGGGAAGCTCTTCAGCTGAAAATGAGGCCCTGCACGGGAAGAAAAGGGAATGGGAGCTGGTGGGCAGATAACTGGTCTTCAGCCAATATGAGGAAGCTGGATTCTACCTGAAATGCACGGAAAGACTCCACTGCCCTCCCGCCAGTTTGGATGCGACCTGACCTGGCGCACCACGGAAAAGATTGGGTTCTTTTAAGCAATTTGTACTCCCCAAGCTCTGCCTGTTATTCTCACCTTCCTTTGTGCTGCTCAGGAAGACTACAAGAATGATCCCTCTTCTTCTTTTAAATACATGCTTATGTAAAACATACACATTTGTTTAAAAGTCCATGCAAGAGGGGACAAAAGAAGAGATTATCAGGAGCCAGTATAATTATGGTGGTTCTCCTTATACTTCTGAGCTTAAGGCAATTTTTTAAAAATATAAAAGTAATGGAATAAAATCATAGTTTAGAAAATATAAAACCACAATTCCACCACTCTGACCCAACCACTATTTTAATTTTAGAGTATTTCCTTTCAGCCTTTGTTCATATGAGTTTCTCACTAACTTTTGTATCTTTTTTTTTTTTTTTGCTTGACATTACATAATACTTTACAGGAATTGTTGTCAACGGCAACATACTCCATCATGTCGACATACTGTGATGCACTTAATCGTTCTTCTATTATCAGACATTTAGGTTGTCTTCATTTTGTTTTTTCTAATGTTTTCTAATGTGCTGAATGTTTCTGGGTTCTGTAACTTTTCTCATGCCTTATCTTGTTTCCTGAGATTAGATTGTGAGAAATGGGATTACCAGTTCAGAGGGTATAAACATTTTTAAGACTCTTGATACATATTGCCAAATTGCTTCTCAAAACTGTTGCATTTTATCTCTACTGTCTCCACAGTTTATGAGAGGATCAGTTTCACTGCATTCTTGCTAGCAATAGATATTTGGATTTTTAAACATTTTCCTAACTTCATAGGCAAAAAATATGTGTCGTTTTTGTTTTAATTTGCATTTCTTTGGTTACGAGGAAGGTTTGATGCTTTTATGTATGCTTGCTTATTGGCTATATTTTATTCTGTGCCTTATGTGTTGTCTTTTTCTTCATTTTAGACCCCAAGACAGCTTCCGAGACAGAAACAGATATCTGTGCTGAATGGGAGATAAAGACCATCACTAGTGCTCTGAAGACCTACCTAAGGTAGGGACTTTCCATTTGCAAGGCAGGGTGCCAGCTAGTTATCATGCAATCAGGAAGAAAGCAGTTTTATTTTCAGCCTCCAGAGAGCTGTTGGGTGGGTGTTTGAGATGTGGAAACAGCTTCTGTGTGGGTGCATTTAGCTCAGCTGGTCAAAATGATTGTAAATCATCTAGAGTTGACGGGTTGCCATTGTGCAAGGGTGCCATGAGTGATTCGGGAAACTTTGCTCTTTATGAAAAGTGCTGAAATAATTAGCCTTGAACAGAACGTAAAATGTGGTCTTCTCTGAAATCCCTGAATAATCTGTTAAGAAAGCAAGGAATCCTGTATCATGTTTTGTTGAGAATGCACGAGTATATACCCTCTGTATTTTGATAGTTTTGTGCACTACAGTATATTGCTAGATATCGTTCCTTAAAAATGAGAACTTAATGAATTTTTTTTTTGCTCTTCCCACTTAGATTGGAAAACATTACCTTCCTGTAGAGACTATTTTCCTTGTATTAATATATATAATATTACTGCTACCTCTCTATCCCTCTCTCGGTTATTCAGGAGTTGGGTATTATTGACCAGCTGCTTGCATCTCAGTGTCATAGAATAGACTGAAATTTATGCCGGCCTTGAGGGACAGGAATACTGTAGTTCTTCTTACAAAGGAAGGTGGGATCTAGTCTTAAACAGAAAGGAGAACTGTAATCAGGAATTGCATAAGCCCTTGTGCAAGTTTGGTGAAGATGAACTTGGCAGGAAAGCAAAGGAGAAAGGCCACACACAGAAGAGGAATTGGCGATGCTGGTTTTATTGGCTATTGGGGAATTGAAGTCAAGAGTAAGATGTAATATAAATGTTGACCAAGAGTTTAATGAATGGATCCACTGAGAATAAAATCTGAGCCAAGAATAATGTACAGTTTGCTGAGAAGTTTGTTATTTGGACTATCAGAAAAAACTCAAATTTATAGTTAAAACATATTCATACCCCAGCAGATAAAATTTGCTTATATCATATCTAACATTAAGGCCAGAACCTAATGTTCTAGCCCTCTGGCATTTTAGAGCAATACTCGATAGAGAATTCACCATGAAAATACCTACAGAAGTCTCTCACAGTGTTTCTAGGTGAATTGATTGTGACAGCAGGCTGCTGGGAAGACAAGAGGTTAAGCACAGGTAATTTGCAGACGTGTACTTAGTTGCCTGTTTCTCAGACACATCTTAAAAATGTTCTTGTTGATGAGTGAGTCACTGACAGAAAAGGAAATCTCTTGGTTTGTGCTAGACTTTTGCATTAACACTCTATTAGTTGTGACTATGAAACATAATTGTCCCCATACCCTTAAAAAAGAGAACGAAAATTTCAGGTGAAATCTCAGAACTCTTTGAATAGGGAAACTAAGTTAAGTTGCTGTTGTTTCCCTGTGATCTTTGTCTTTGAGAAATATAAGTCTGGCAGTCTCTAGGCTGCTAGTTAGAGAGCATATGATTATTTTATTATTAAGCTGACTAGCCTATATTCTTTTATTCCAGAATGCTTCCGGGACCACTCATGATGTACCAGTTTCAAAGAAGTTTCATCAAAGCAGCAAGTAAGTCTTTTTTTGTCTCAGTCTTAAGGGGAAGAGTATAGAGTTTGCTATTTCAAAGAACAGTCAGTATCCCAAAATAAATATTACCTAACCCTTCATATTCTGCATGTAAACTGGCCACATAACGTGTGCATGAGATGCTGACACAGAATTGAAAGGAAAGGAAATGAGGATTGCTAAGGGCCTTGCTACCATGTTGAATTCACAATGAAGGAGAGAAACTTCAGAAGTGTTTTCTTCGGGGGGTGGGGGGGAAGTAGGAGAAAAAAGCAAGTTTGCCTTTCTAGCTTTGATTATTGGAGTTCTAACTTCTTGGGTTTTTTCCACCCTTTGAGTAGCATTTTGCAGAATGAATCAGACATTGCACATTACCTAAATTGAGCATTGGAAATGTTTCCCTGAATACGACACCATTTATATAACTTCACATCCTCTTTCCATCATGTCTTCCACTTGCAGCTTCTGATCATTCTTCAACTGTATCATCCAGGTCCCTAGTGTCACATTACTGGTATTAAAATACATAGGGATTAGGTGCAAGCTACCCTAAGTATCCTGGAATCTGTCTACGTGGGGCAGTCCTCCTGTAAGGGGGCAGGAAGATTCTCTTTCAGATTTAAATCTGGCAGGAATTCTCACGGTATTATCATGTCTAGAGCTTGTGCCTCTCCCTGGTTCCTTTCAGCCTTTAGAGTTTGTTTACCCTGGTAGCTACTACTGGCCTAATTTAGTAGTACCTAATGTTCTGGTGGCCTTACCTACTTATAGTTGTCCCTTAAAACAGGGAGGAGAAAGACGTGAGAGAAAGCTAGGAATGAAGATGGTGTTTATGTGATTTTTTTCTCAAAGAAATTGCAAACCCATAGCAACCATTCTCTAATTAAACCTCACATCAGTGCTATAAATAGGCGTGATGAGTACCATCAATCTATTTGCCAGAGAAACATGGCCACTTACCCAAGTTCACCTGAGAGAAGGTGACAAGCCATGATTTAGGTTACAGGTTGGCAGAAAGATTTAAATATTTTATCTGCTATCGTTTGCTTTCTACCAGGCTGGTTGTCATACATGGTTTGAGACTAAAGGACATTTCCTTTGATTTCCATTATGCTGTCTCTGGGTGCTATTTTGATACTTGAGACCTTGCAATGCTGTTCACGTAAGATTTGTTTATCACTTTACAAGTGCACGAAGTTCCTTCCTTCCTTGAAATGAAGTCGTCCCTCGAGGGAGCCAGCTGCTCCTGAGCTCGTTCCCGTTCTGGGTGTGCGGTTGACTGGCTCCATTTCATCACGACCTCATCTTGGCTTGCATTTTTTGATGCTGATTTTTATGGTGAACCCTGCTCCAGAAAGCACCATTAAAAGGAATTCTAGATCTAGTCATGCCAGTCGGACAGTATACACGCAATACAGGATCGTAAATCTTTGAGAAATACTTGGTCTGTTAGTGCCTAATCTTTGGTTTCTCTTGATTTTTTCGTCTCGCAAAGTAGTTTAGCTGTGACACTGTTAAAATATTGCCTCCCTCCTTCCTTTGCAGAGCTAGAAAACCAGGAATCTCGGATCTCTGAAATCCACAGCCTTGTCCATCGGCTCCCAGAGAAAAATCGGCAGATGTTACAGCTGCTCATGAACCACTTGGCAAAGTAGGTTTAAGACCAATTGCTGGCCATTTTCTCACCCCTGAACGTTCTTATCTTAGCAAGAAAGCTGGTCTCAGTTCTGCCTACGTTTCCCTCTGCCACTATTGCATCAGGTATGCTGGAGGCTTAGGAAAGAAATGTGTGAAATGTTAACTGCAGTGGACAACAGCAGCGATGCCAGATGGCCTTCGCACAGGAGGCTGGGGAGTGCCCGTGTGACCAGGTCACCATGCGGAGTTCGTAGGGGTTATGTGTTCTCGTGATGATAAAGGGCAAACAAGAATATGTTGTGAGTTTATAAAACTTGGCTTTGGAGTGAGGAGGCCTGGACTCTCGAGCCGACTCTGCTCTTAACAGCCACTTAACCAGCCTTGGACGAGCCACTGAACCTATTTCTTGGTTTCTTCATCTATCACGTGTGGATAACAGACCTCCACTTTATCTACAAGGTCATTGATTTTAAAGATTACGTACATTAAAGGCTTTGAAAAAGTGTAAAGAAGAAAGGAATTATTTTTGGCAAATCTTCATTTGCCCTCTGAGATAATCAGAGCATTCAGTAGGGGTCTAATTTTCCTGCTAGGGGTATTTGCACTCTTGGAATGGCTTTCGATTTTTGTGTATTGACTATTGCTTGACCCTTTTGAAAGGCTTCGCTGACCTCCCTTGCTGTTTCAGTCACTGCCTATGTGTATATTCTAACCTTCTGTTGACTTTGATGGTATGTTCTTGATTGCACACTGGAGCACGAGAAAGGAATGAGAGTGTAACAGTTAACCTAAATCGTTAAGCCCATCAATTCAAATGAACTGATGTGCTGTAAATTAGCTCTTCCCCACAGTGTGCTCATGCCATTATTTCTTTGGGATAAGCTGATGTTCTTCTGAAGGAGATTGTGATGGTTGGTTTTCATATTTCTGTAAAGCACTGGGTATTACCTTTGGGGGAGGGAATGTTTATGTACCGTAAAGATTTCCACAATTTCCCCATTTCCATGAAGAAACAGGAGTGTTTTGTGTGTTGGTAGGAAGCAATTGGGTAGAGCCATGGTTGCTCCATTGATCATTTTTTTTTTCTTGCCTGTTTGTATCAGCACTGCATGTTCAGGAATAATTAAGAAACATGGCAGAGCACATACAAGTTTACAGGGGAAGAATGCCCCCCAAATGTCAAAAAATCCTGATGAAGCGTGCTTAAAATAACGGGAACTGGGTTTTACAAAGTAACTCCAGATGCTCTGAGATGACAGTTCCGTGTCTGTTCCACACAACCCAGAGTGAGACGTTTGTTAAACAGAAAAGCTGGTTTAGATGTTAGCTGCAAAACTCTGCCTGCTTAAAGGGCAAGCCCCCAAACACAGGAAGTTCCGAGTGCACACTCCCGCCAAGTGTGAAGGGTGCTCGTGACTGCTTTGTGGCCACTGGGTCTGTAGGAGGCCTTCAGGCCTGTTGGGAGCAGCTAGAGAAGAAGAGTTAGGAACCAACTGAAGGCAGAGGGTCTTTTCAAGCTGTGCAGTTGGAAGGAGAGCTTAATTGGAAGGAGAGTTCAAGAGTGAATGGTGATTCAGAGAACCAGTATTATGTTTTTTCCATTTTTTAAACTGCCCTGAGGATTGTTAGAACTCTTCAAAGAAGAAGAAAAAAAGATTTTCCAAAAAAAAAAAAAAAAAAACCCTTAAGGTAGATCTTGAATAGTTGAGCCTGGTGGATGGCTCACTTTCTTCTTCCTTTCCTCCCCTTATCCCATTATGTTCAGTCCATCCTGGTTCCTCACCTAAGGAGTAGTACAACTGAAATTATGCGGGTTACAGCTGTGACCTTGACTTTTCGCCTTCTAACTAACGTAAACCAATTTTATTGCTGGTGTTACTTACTGCATAGCATTTCTGGAACATTATGTCTTGTCTTTGAAACTTGAGAATAATTTTCTTTGGTTTTGTGGCATTTCTTTATTCATTGGATCATGAAGAAGTTTACGTATAGACAAGCATATGCGCCGTAATGGGAGTTGGTCAGCACTTATGTTAGAATACACATACTCAAGCTCTAAGCATGCTGTGTGCTTGATCTCCCAAGTCTCTAGATTAAAATATCTTTGAGATATCTATAAATGAGCACTGTTGAATCCTGTAAAGAGTGTTTATTTAGGTCTGAAAAAATTCTTTGGCACCCAGAGGAGTTCTAAGATTCCACTTAAACTCTATTCTCACTTACAGCACTGTCCTTATTTTAAAATCAAGCAGTAAGGGAAAGTTAACTTGGGACAAGAGGTTTGTCTAATTCCAGTTTTCTCAGGTTTAGACTTACCCTAGGATATGCCTGAGCTATTGTTCCTCTGGGCCACTTACTTAATGGTCAGCTTCCTTCCTAAGTTTTGGTTTCAGGGCTGATTCTGCTGGAAAACCCAGTGTTTACTTCTCTCATTACCTACTGTTTGCCTTATGCATCTCAGGATTCTGGTTCAAAGGCAAGACATTTTGTATTGTGTATTTTTTAAAGTACTCTTTCAAACATTTTCCAAAATTGATTTCCTTTAGCTCTGGCAAGAGAGTTAGGGCTTTTTATATTTAATCCCAAGTAAAAATGCATTCAGAGGGGGAAAAAAAAATCTTGGAAGGAAAGGATAAAAGCTCCAAACCTCTAAAGCAAATGATTACCAGGGTACATCCAAATCACAGAGATGCTGGGTTTCTTTCAGACCTCAGAGGGAACATAAAAATTATAGGAAACCATGCACATATTTTTGTAGTTCCAGCTTAAATCTACTATGATAATTAGATGTTTTCTATTTGGATCTTGGAATCCAATATACAGTCTGGAGTCATGTGCCTCAAAGCATGGGTAGAATCACCTGGGGTGCTTGTTTACGTTGACATTTCTGGGCCCCACTGTGGGTCTAACTAGATCAGGCTCTCAGCCTGGGAATCTGCATTTCTGATTTATTTGCTCGGTAATTATTGTGTAAACAGTCTTTTGAGAACCACTGGCTCAGAGAATGGGTCATATGCAAGGATTTTCTAGGAGAGAGAAATATTGAGAGGAATGCGAATTGGGATTTAGGAGGGTATTAGAAACAGAAGAAGCTCAGAGCAATGTGAGTTCAAAAAGGAGATTTTATTGTCATTGAATTAGTAAAAAAAAAAAAAAAAAGCCAGTTTTGATTTCCCAAGTCTTTACAGTTTGACTTTGCATTAAATTTAGTTTTCAGCAAATGAAATCGTGTTTAAGGCATTTTTAATTATGAAGAAAATCATCCCCAGCTAGCTGTGGATCCTTGTGCAAATTATTCTACTTTTTTTGAGCCTCAGTTTCTGAGTTCCCCTCCAATCATGTGATTCTGTGTTTTCATGGGTGGGGGCAAGAGAAAAGAGATCCCAATCTGAGAATTGTAGAAGGAAAAGAGTAGATGAGTAATAAAGACTAATTTCATGGTAGTTTCATAATGTTTACATATTATGATGACTCCAAGTATGTTGCATATCCCCACACATACCATTCATGATGGCTCATCGCAACTTTATTGCAGTGTTTGTGCTGTGAGGGAGGATTTCAAAGGACTCTCCATACATCAGAGTGGCTATTAAAAATACCTTTTCACAGCTGGTTTTCTCAAAATGCTTATTGAGAAATAAATCTTTGTCTCTTTCCTCTTTTGGAACAGCTATTCCTTTGTTGCAAGGGTGTTGTTGGAGAGGCAGAGCACGGTCTTGCAGCCCCAAAGAGGTGTTGTATCATTTAGGATGCTTTGGGCTGCAAGAAACAGAAAATCCAATTGAAAATGGCTTGAACAATTAGGGGATCTGTTGTGTCATTACACAAAAATCAGTTCAGAAAGTTAGTTGATTTCTTGGCTCATGAAGGACTCAGGCTATTTCCATGTTCCTGCTCCACCAGCCTCACTGTGGTGGCAGCTCCTCTCTCTCAGGGTCAGCAGGTGTTACATTGTGTCCTGGCATGTGCTCCTCCAAAGGCAGAAAAGGCATGATTTTTTCTTTGAGTCTCCTTCTAAGAGCTGTGATGACAGTTGTCAGACATTCCCTAGTACACTTTGTGTCACATCTCATGGGTCCAAAGCAGTCACCGGCAAGGGGAGAAGGGTACCACCATGATTATTTCGTGTCAAACAAGATTTGTCTGCACCCCCTGTGGGAGGCTTGGATGTCAGAATAAAAGCAGAGTTTGGAGTAGGCAGCCCACAGTGTCTGCTTCGAGGAGTCTTGGTAATTAACATTCAACCGAGAGCATTAAGTCTGTTGAATGATCTTTGCATGATGTGCTAACTCAATCAAGACACGGGACAGAAAGGCCAATTCGGGAGGAGAGATGAGTACATGCGCGGTATGGGCACCTATGCCCTAAATTATAAGATTTCGAGGAGTGGAAGGTAAGAGAGAGTAAGGAAGAGGACAAGATGGGCTTTAGTCCCATTGCCTCTTGCTGACTCCTTATTGTTCTTTTCATGACCCAGTTGTCTAATGTTTCTTTTGATCTTCTGTTACATGTTGTGACTTTCCAAAATGGACAAAATTCTGTAGATTGCAGGGATCATGAAGGAATATTGTGGGGCAAATGCTTGGCATACAAGTGAGACCTTATCAAACTATGTAGACTTCATGGGCAGAAGTTTTCAAGGGTTGAGCATCTAGTGGCTTTGTTTTTTTTTTTTTTTTTTTTCCTTTTCCCCATTCTTGTGACTAGAGTCTGAGTACTGCCAGGCATCCCTGCAAATCAGGAAGGATGTATTCATACTTTCCTAATGATCTAGAGACAGTGAATTGGGTTCATGTGCCAATGCCTGTGGTTATAAAGAAAGTTATTGCCAGGCCTTGGCACCGCGGAAGATGAGCCCTGGTGGTTAAGTAGCCTTCCTTGACGTTCTTAAGAAGGGGTCAAAATAAAAGGAAGTGGGCACTGATGCTTGGCATTAGCTCATATCTCATAGATACTCTAGTATTCCTTCTTTCTCCATCCCAAGATAAGATTTAGTATAGTGATGAGCTGTTA